CACAGTCAAGCAGAATATGCTTGACGGTGAAAACCAGTGTCCTCATGAATATGTGTGACCCCATGGGAGAGACATTTGGGGGGTCCCCGTGTCTCTACAAGTGTCCTCCATATCAACACATGTGACCCCTGTCTATACAACTGTCCCCAATATCAACATGTGTGACCCCATGTCTGTACAAGTGTCCCCCATATCAGCACGTGTGACCCCACGTCTCTACAAGTGACCCCAATATCGACAAGTTAGACCCCCATTTCTGTATAAGTGTCCCCCATATCAAAACCAGTGACCCACTTGTCTATACCAGTGTATCCTATATCAACACATGTGACCCCATGTCTATACCAGTGTTTCCTATATCAACACATGTGACCCCATGTCTATACCAGTGTATCCTATATCAACACATGTGACCTCTGTCTATACAACTGTCCCCCATATCAACACGGTGACCCCATGTGAGTATAAGTGTCCTCCAACACATGTGACCCCCATGTCTCTGTAGGTGCTGCCCATGTAAAAAATTGTGACCCATATTAATCTCTGTGAACTCATGTCAACACCAGTGAACCCCATGTCTACACCAGTGAACCCCATGTCTACACCAGTGTCCCCCTGTCTACACCAGTGGCCCCCCTTGTCTACATCATCAGCCCCCTTGTCTACACCTTCAGCCCCCCTGTCTACACCAGTGAACCCCATGTCTACTCCAATGTCCCCCTGTCTACACCAGTGAACCCAATGTCTACACCAGTGAACCCCATGTCTACTCCAATGTCCCCCTGTCTACACCAGTGAACCCCATGTCTACACCAGTGTCACCCTGTCTACACCAGTGTACCCCTTGTCTACACCAGTGTCCCCCTTGTCTACACCAGTGTCCCCCTGTCTACACCAGCTGCCCCCATTTGACCCACCTCTCTGGCTGCCCTTTCCCCAGCCTGGATCGCTCCATCCATGAATCCCATCCATTCTGTAGCTGTTTCTGTCCCAGCAAAATACAGACGGTGGTGTGGCTTCCTGATCTCCCTGAAGAAAACATTTCTCCACATGCATGAAATATGTCTCCACTGAAATAACACAAATGACCCTGCCAAACATCTTCAGGTGGCATGACAAAGTAATGTCCACTGATGTGATCAGACTCAGCAGCCAGTGAGTTTATGCACAATATTAGTGTACGGCATGATGCCAAGTACCAAATGTCAAGCTGAAACTTACATACTGCATACTGTATAATACTGTATTAGTCATATATCTTCAATACTATGCAAGCACTCACCCCTATGGAATTGGTAAAGGCAAAGCTCCACCTGAATATTGGACTAGCGTAGTTTCTTACAAACTACAATGCTCCTTCCATACTGTGTCTAGAATATACAGCTTACCTTCCATACTGTGTTAGTACCCCAGGGGAAGGTTGGTTGTGTTCCACACCCTAGAATACAGCTTACCTTCCATACTGTGTCAGTACCCCAGGGGAAGGTTGGTTGTGTTCCACACCCTAGAATACAGCTTACCTTCCATACTGTGTTAGTACCCCATACTGTGTGGTAAGGGAAGGTTGGTTGTTCCACACCCTAGAATACAGCTTACCAGCTGTGTTAGTACCAGCTTACCTTCCATACTGTGTCAGTACCCCAGGGGGAAGGTTGGTTGTGTGTTCCACACCCTAGAATACAGCTTACCTTCCATACTGTGTCAGTACCCCAGGGGAAGGTTGGTTGTGTTCCACACCCTAGAATACAGCTTACCTTCCATCCACACCCTGTACAGTCAGTACCCCAGGGGAAGGTTGGTTGTGTTCCACACCCTAGAATACAGCTTACCTTCCATATATGCTGTGTCAGTACCCCAGGGGAAGGTTGGTTGTGTTCCACACCCTAGAATACAGCTTACCTTCCATACTGTGTCAGTACCCCAGGGGAAGGTTGGTTGTGTTCCACACCCTAGAATACAGCTTACCTTCCATACCAGTACCCCAGGGGAAGGTTGGTTGTGTTCCACACCCTAGAATACAGCTTACCTTCCATACAGTACCCCAGGGGAAGGTTGGTTGTGTTCCACACCCTAGAATACAGCTTACCTTCCATACTGTGTCAGTACCCCAGGGGAAGGTTGGTTGTGTTCCACACCCTAGAATACAGCTTACCTTCCATACTGTGTTAGTACCCGTGTTAGTACCCACAGGGAAGGTTGGTTGTGTTCCACACCCTAGAATACAGCTTACCTTCCATACTGTGTCAGTACCCCAGGGGAAGGTTGGTTGTGTTCCACACCCTAGAATACAGCTTACCTTCCATACTGTGTCAGTACCCCAGGGGAAGGTTGGTTGTGTTCCACACCCTAGAATACAGCTTACCTTCCATACTGTGTCAGTACCCCAGGGGAAGGTTGGTTGTGTTCCACACCCTAGAATACAGCTTACCTTCCATACTGTGTTACAGTACCTTCCCAGGGGAAGGTTGGTTGTGTTCCACACCCTAGAATACAGCTTACCTTCCATACTGTGTCAGTACCCCAGGGGAAGGTTGGTTGTGTTCCACACCCTAGAATACAGCTTACCTTCCATACTGTGTCAGTACCCCAGGGGAAGGTTGGTTGTGTTCCACACCCTAGAATACAGCTTACCTTCCATACTGTGTCAGTACCCCAGGGGAAGGTTGGTTGTGTTCCACACCCTAGAATACAGCTTACCTTCCATACTGTGTCAGTACCCCAGGGGAAGGTTGGTTGTGTTCCACACCCTAGAATACAGCTTACCTTCCATACTGTGTTCAGTACCCCAGGGGAAGGTTGGTTGTGTTCCACACCCTAGAATACAGCTTACCTTCCCTGTCCATACTGTGTTCCACACCAGTACCCCCAGGGGAAGGTTGGTTGTGTTCCACACCCTAGAATACAGCTTACCTTCCATACTGTGTCAGTACCCCAGGGGAAGGTTGGTTGTGTTCCACACCCTAGAATACAGCTTACCTTCCATACTGTGTTAGTACCCCAGGGGAAGGTTGGTTGTGTTCCACACCCTAGAATACAGCTTACCTTCCATACTGTGTCAGTACCCCAGGGGAAGGTTGGTTGTGTTCCACACCCTAGAATACAGCTTACCTTCCATACTGTGTCAGTACCCCAGGGGAAGGTTGGTTGTGTTCCACACCCTAGAATACAGCTTACCTTCCATACTGTGTTAGTACCCCAGGGGAAGGTTGGTTGTGTTCCACACCCTAGAATACAGCTTACCTTCCATACTGTGTCAGTACCCCGGGTGGAAGTATGACCGAGTAGCATCCCCCAGAATATTCATCCTCCATCCAGTTCTTCTCCACATACCCCACAGGCTGAAGAGGTATTGTATCAGTGATAAGAAACGTCTAAAGAGGATTGATGTCAAATTGTCTAAACCAAATATGTTTAGCTTACTCAATATTACAATTTAAACAAACATGCGGCTACGTTAAGTTCTAGAATCAACGCTTTTTACAAATTCTGGTCGACATGTCACAACCTGTTCAATGACTGATTCATTTTGCATTGTCATTATAACTGTATAAACAAACTTGACTTGATCTCTACTCTGCATGTTGGAGCCCACGTGCAGCTGTGAAAATGGTTCAAAAATAAAAAAATACAGATATATATTTTTAAAAAAATATGTTCTTCTCTTTATTAAATTTACCCATGTAAACAGATCATAAATGACACTCTAGAAATACCATACTTCACAAAAACTGTAGCTATTTACAAACATCAAACCCTTTACCTCCAAAAACTTCTTGCATTTGAATGTTTCTGCATATTGCTGACACAGCTTCTGCTTTCTGAAACGATGTATAACACCTGTATCATATCATATGTATGATATCATGAAATACTATTCTAACAAAAACGAGTGTCTCAGGTCTGATTTTTCTGATAAGGAAACCATTACATACACTCTAAACATCCTAACAGGTTTTGGGTTAAACGACAAGCTACAGACAGATGTATACATATAATGTTGACATCTGTCAAGATGTCACAGGTTTTGTGTATAATGATTATCCCAATATTACAATGTTCTTCCTCCTCAATAAGTGGTTGGACTTTGGAGTTTACAATCTGTGTGAGACAGAATATGTTTCTAGTAGTGGCACAAGTACGGTGAACATACTGACAATTTGACATGGCACACTGATGGCCATGGATGGTGATCATGTTATCAACTGGTGGTTTTCTTGGACCAGATTCGAGTATTTACAGGCTGTTTTGATAGAGATGACTGGCATAAACAGTGACCCACCTCTCTTCCTTTGTAAGTTGACTGAGGCTGCGACACTGGTCAGCCAGGATGAAGGCTATGATCGAAGGATGGGAGCCGTCTGGCTTTGTGTCATCAAAACATGTCGCAGATGGCCCATTGTCACTCATAGCAATTCCACTCAGATCTGCAAATCATACATCACTAGTAGTGAAACAGATATCCACGTAGATCTGTAACATTGTACATCACTAGTGATGAAACATTGCTGTGATATTTAGATACTTTAAATCTCAGCTGTGATACGTAGATATTTAGAATTTCAGCTGTGCCCCTTAGATCTGTAAAGTCATCAAAAACAGGTGAGGTGAAATAGGGTTTAACGTCGTGCTTGAGAATATTTCGCTCATATGACGTGCATGCGTGTGTATGTATATGTGCGGCTGCTTGTACTAGCCCCGACTTAAGCTGGTTTAATAGTGCAAGCCCACTGAGATACCATGCCGCAGTGAAGCATGAATACCCCACTCAGACACATTATACTGACTCCGAGACGACCAGTCCTTGTTGTACCCATTACTGCCGAGCGCCAGGCAGGGACCAACAAGTACCATATTTTAACGTCTTTTGGTATGACGCGGTCGGAGATCGAACCTGCGACCTTCCGCTCTCCGGGCGGACGCTCTAACCACTACACCACAGAGGCGGTCCATCAAAAACAGCAGACCAGCTCTCAGTTTCATGTATCCCGACAAGTGCTAACCTAGCTCTCTCCAGAACGGGGTGCTGTAGAACAAGTTAGTCTTGATGACGGAGCCCATGGGGACTCGCTGTATCAACTGGGCCTTGAGACCAGGTAGTGGAGGGGAGAAGCGCACTCTGGATAGCAGCGTGAGTGGCATGGCGCTGATCACGTATGTACACTGAGGTGAAGAGAATACATTCTTTAAGTCACCCGAACCAGTATGGTATTTCATAATCATTCAAGTTTTCATAGGTTTTGTATCACTATCAGAAATATGCAGCTACAGTGGCATTGTTTGCCCATTTCCTTGTGATTGTACGTTTATCAACATTTCTCAAGCATGTGTTTCCGTGGGTATTCTGTACCAATAGTCAAGTCTGTAGAGCTTTATACTACTTCAACCATTGATCGAGAGAGCATGACTCATAAAGGTACCAACAGTGTGTCAAGTGTGAATCACTGACCTTGACGACTTTCCCATCAACGGTGTGGACAATTGCTCCTGCATCATCCTGTGTGACGCTGGTGACGGGGGAGCTGAGATGAACATCGGCACCAAGCCAGTCACTCATCCCCTCAGACAACTGCTGGGTCCCTCCAACAACCTTCTTCTCCTGGGAAAAGAAATAAACAATGGCTAAGTTAAATAGATCTTGGATGCCTCATGAGACTTTGACTAATATTCAGTGTGTGCTACATCATTGATGAGAGACAACCTGTTTACTTTGTATCCACTGTGGGCGGAGGGCAGACTGAGATTAGCAGTCAAAGTGTGCTCCATCAGTGATGAGAGACAACCTGTTGACATTGAGGTCACTGTGGGTGGAGGGCAGACTGAGACTAACATTCAACCTGTGCTACATCATGTTGACATTGAGGTCACTGTGGGTGGAGCGGCAGACTGAGACTAACATTCAACCTGTGCTACATCATGTTGACATTGAGGTCACTGTGGGTGGAGGGCAGACTGAGACTAACATTCAACCTGTGCTACATCATGTTGACATTGAGGTCACTGTGGGTGGAGGGCAGACTGAGACTAACATTCAACCTGTGCTACATCATGTTGACATTGAGGTCACTGTGGGTGGAGGGCAGACTGAGACTAACATTCAACCTGTGCTACATCATGTTGACATTGAGGTCACTGTGGGTGGAGGGCAGACTGAGACTAACATTCAACCTGTGCTACATCATGTTGACATTGAGGTCACTGTGGGTGGAGGGCAGACTGAGACTAACATTCAACCTGTGCTACATCATGTTGACATTGAGGTCACTGTGGGTGGAGGGCAGACTGAGACTAACATTCAACCTGTGCTACATCATGTTGACATTGAGGTCACTGTGGGTGGAGGGCAGACTGAGACTAACATTCAACCTGTGCTACATCATGTTGACATTGAGGTCACTGTGGGTGGAGGGCAGACTGAGACTAACATTCAACCTGTGCTACATCATGTTGACATTGAGGTCACTGTGGGTGGAGGGCAGACTGAGACTAACATTCAACCTGTGCTACATCATGTTGACATTGAGGTCACTGTGGGTGGAGGGCAGACTGAGACTAACATTCAACCTGTGCTACATCATGTTGACATTGAGGTCACTGTGGGTGGAGGGCAGACTGAGACTAACATTCAACCTGTGCTACATCATGTTGACATTGAGGTCACTGTGGGTGGAGGGCAGACTGAGACTAACATTCAACCTGTGCTACATCATGTTGACATTGAGGTCACTGTGGGTGGAGGGCAGACTGAGACTAACATTCAACCTGTGCTACATCATGTTGACATTGAGGTCACTGTGGGTGGGAGGGCAGACTGAGACTAACATTCAACCTGTGCTACATCATGTTGACATTGAGGTCACTGTGGGTGGAGGGCAGACTGAGACTAACATTCAACCTGTGCTACATCATGTTGACATTGAGGTCACTGTGGGTGGAGGGCAGACTGAGACTAACATTCAACCTGTGCTACATCATGTTGACATTGAGGTCACTGTGGGTGGAGGGCAGACTGAGACTAACATTCAACCTGTGCTACATCATGTTGACATTGAGGTCACTGTGGGTGGAGGGCAGACTGAGACTAACATTCAACCTGTGCTACATCATGTTGACATTGAGGTCACTGTGGGTGGAGGGCAGACTGAGACTAACATTCAACCTGTGCTACATCATGTTGACATTGAGGTCACTGTGGGTGGAGGGCAGACTGAGACTAACATTCAACCTGTGCTACATCATGTTGACATTGAGGTCACTGTGGGTGGAGGGCAGACTGAGACTAACATTCAACCTGTGCTACATCATGTTGACATTGAGGTCACTGTGGGTGGAGGGCAGACTGAGACTAACATTCAACCTGTGCTACATCATGTTGACATTGAGGTCACTGTGGGTGGAGGGCAGACTGAGACTAACATTCAACCTGTGCTACATCATGTTGACATTGAGGTCACTGTGGGTGGAGGGCAGACTGAGACTAACATTCAACCTGTGCTACATCATGTTGACATTGAGGTCACTGTGGGTGGAGGGCAGACTGAGACTAACATTCAACCTGTGCTACATCATGTTGACATTGAGGTCACTGTGGGTGGAGGGCAGACTGAGACTAACATTCAACCTGTGCTACATCATGTTGACATTGAGGTCACTGTGGGTGGAGGGCAGACTGAGACTAACATTCAACCTGTGCTACATCATGTTGACATTGAGGTCACTGTGGGTGGAGGGCAGACTGAGACTAACATTCAACCTGTGCTACATCATGTTGACATTGAGGTCACTGTGGGTGGAGGGCAGACTGAGACTAACATTCAACCTGTGCTACATCATGTTGACATTGAGGTCACTGTGGGTGGAGGGCAGACTGAGACTAACATTCAACCTGTGCTACATCATGTTGACATTGAGGTCACTGTGGGTGGAGGGCAGACTGAGACTAACATTCAACCTGTGCTACATCATGTTGACATTGAGGTCACTGTGGGTGGAGGGCAGACTGAGACTAACATTCAACCTGTGCTACATCATGTTGACATTGAGGTCACTGTGGGTGGAGGGCAGACTGAGACTAACATTCAACCTGTGCTACATCATGTTGACATTGAGGTCACTGTGGGTGGAGGGGCAGACTGAGACTAACATTCAACCTGTGCTACATCATGTTGACATTGAGGTCACTGTGGGTGGAGGGCAGACTGAGACTAACATTCAACCTGTGCTACATCATGTTGACATTGAGGTCACTGTGGGTGGAGGGCAGACTGAGACTAACATTCAACCTGTGCTACATCATGTTGACATTGAGGTCACTGTGGGTGGAGGGCAGACTGAGACTAACATTCAACCTGTGCTACATCATGTTGACATTGAGGTCACTGTGGGTGGAGGGGCAGACTGAGACTAACATTCAACCTGTGCTACATCATGTTGACATTGAGGTCACTGTGGGTGGAGGGCAGACTGAGACTAACATTCAACCTGTGCTACATCATGTTGACATTGAGGTCACTGTGGGTGGAGGGCAGACTGAGACTAACATTCAACCTGTGCTACATCATGTTGACATTGAGGTCACTGTGGGTGGAGGGCAGACTGAGACTAACATTCAACCTGTGCTACATCATGTTGACATTGAGGTCACTGTGGGTGGAGGGCAGACTGAGACTAACATTCAACCTGTGCTACATCATGTTGACATTGAGGTCACTGTGGGTGGAGGGCAGACTGAGACTAACATTCAACCTGTGCTACATCATGTTGACATTGAGGTCACTGTGGGTGGAGGGCAGACTGAGACTAACATTCAACCTGTGCTACATCATGTTGACATTGAGGTCACTGTGGGTGGAGGGCAGACTGAGACTAACATTCAACCTGTGCTACATCATGTTGACATTGAGGTCACTGTGGGTGGAGGGCAGACTGAGACTAACATCTCAACCTGTGCTACATCATGTTGACATTGAGGTCACTGTGGGTGGAGGGCAGACTGAGACTAACATTCAACCTGTGCTGTGCTACATCATGTTGACATTGAGGTCACTGTGGGTGGAGGGCAGACTGAGACTAACATTCAACCTGTGCTACATCATGTTGACATTGAGGTCACTGTGGGTGGAGGGCAGACTGAGACTAACATTCAACCTGTGCTACATCATGTTGACATTGAGGTCACTGTGGGTGGAGGGCAGACTGAGACTAACATTCAACCTGTGCTACATCATGTTGACATTGAGGTCACTGTGGGTGGAGGGCAGACTGAGACTAACATTCAACCTGTGCTACATCATGTTGACATTGAGGTCACTGTGGGTGGAGGGCAGACTGAGACTAACATTCAACCTGTGCTACATCATGTTGACATTGAGGTCACTGTGGGTGGAGGACAGACTGAGACTAACATTCAACCTGTGCTACATCATGTTGACATTGAGGTCACTGTGGGTGGAGGGCAGACTGAGACTAACATTCAACCTGTGCTACATCATGTTGACATTGAGGTCACTGTGGGTGGAGGGCAGACTGAGACTAACATTCAACCTGTGCTACATCATGTTGACATTGAGGTCACTGTGGGTGGAGGGCAGACTGAGACTAACATTCAACCTGTGCTACATCATGTTGACATTGAGGTCACTGTGGGTGGAGGGCAGACTGAGACTAACATTCAACCTGTGCTACATCATGTTGACATTGAGGTCACTGTGGGTGGAGGGCAGACTGAGACTAACATTCAACCTGTGCTACATCATGTTGACATTGAGGTCACTGTGGGTGGAGGGCAGACTGAGACTAACATTCAACCTGTGCTACATCATGTTGACATTTGAGGTCACTGTGGGTGGAGGGCAGACTGAGACTAACATTCAACCTGTGCTACATCATGTTGACATTGAGGTCACTGTGGGTGGAGGGCAGACTGAGACTAACATTCAACCTGTGCTACATCATGTTGACATTGAGGTCACTGTGGGTGGAGGGCAGACTGAGACTAACATTCAACCTGTGCTACATCATGTTGACATTGAGGTCACTGTGGGTGGAGGGCAGACTGAGACTAACATTCAACCTGTGCTACATCATGTTGACATTGAGGTCACTGTGGGTGGAGGGCAGACTGAGACTAACATTCAACCTGTGCTACATCATGTTGACATTGAGGTCACTGTGGGTGGAGGGCAGACTGAGACTAACATTCAACCTGTGCTACATCATGTTGACATTGAGGTCACTGTGGGTGGAGGGCAGACTGAGACTAACATTCAACCTGTGCTACATCATGTTGACATTGAGGTCACTGTGGGTGGAGGGCAGACTGAGACTAACATTCAACCTGTGCTACATCATGTTGACATTGAGGTCACTGTGGGTGGAGGGCAGACTGAGACTAACATTCAACCTGTGCTACATCATGTTGACATTGAGGTCACTGTGGGTGGAGGGCAGACTGAGACTAACATTCAACCTGTGCTACATCATGTTGACATTGAGGTCACTGTGGGTGGAGGGCAGACTGAGACTAACATTCAACCTGTGCTACATCATGTTGACATTGAGGTCACTGTGGGTGGAGGGCAGACTGAGACTAACATTCAA